TTATTATTATTATTATTATTATTATTATTTGATTGTTATAATGTGTTTTGTTTGTTAGGAAGAGAGAAGACGAGAAAAGTATTTCTTCGCGCGGTGTATCTGCAGAGACTCTCTTTGGGGGTTTATCAAACACTGTTAGGTATTTGATAATTATAAATTAAATAATTAAATATAAATAAATAAATAAATAAACATATTAAATAAGTATAAGTAAATAAACATATTTATTAGTTTATTAGCAAGTAAATAAATAATATTAATAAATATATTTTAATTCCTGAATAAATTAATTTGTTAATAAACAAATAAAAAAACAATCGTTTATTTTCTTTGATTGTTTATTTTGTTTGTTTGTTTATTTTGTTTATTTCGTTTGCCTCATCCCTCTGTAAACCCTAAAAAGCTCTAAACCCTAAACCCTAAAAAGCTCTAAACCCTAAACCCTAAACCCTAAACCCTGGATATTGTTTTTATTTGTCTGCAGACTTGTGAGGACGCAGCCGCCATTTTTACACCTCCGGCCCCCAAACACCTCTAAATCGAACCTGCAGCAGCAGCAACAGCAGCAGCAGCAACAGCAGCAGCAGCAGCAACAGCAGCAGCAGCAGGAAGGTGAGAAGAGGAAGCATTAATTAGTTTTGTTATATTTTTTTTGTATGTACACCGCATTTTGTTGGTTGTTCGTTTAGACCTATTTATTTATTTTATTGATTTTTCTATCAATTTGTTTATTTGCGGGTTTAACTAATTTAGTTTGTTTAGTTGTTTATCTGTTTACCTCTCCTTTTATTATTCGTCTAATATTATTATTTCTTTAATTTATTTATTTAATTTGTTTATTCATTTGTGCATAGGCTGATATACAAATATAGCTGATGATGTTTTAGGGGTCTTAATTTCTTCAAGACGAAACTCCACGCATACACCCCAACCTGCCTGTACACCTCAGCTGCAGCAGCAACAGCAGCAACAGCAGCAACAGCAACAGCAGCAGTACCAGTATCATTACCAGCAGCAGCTGCAGCAGCCGCTGCAGCATTTAGCAGCAGCAGCAGCAGCATCTGCTGCTGCTGCTGCTGCCCGCTGATTTTTAGTTTTTTTGTGTCTCTGGTAGTCATGAATTCAATGCCAGACAAACAAACAAACAAACAAACAAATAAATAAATAAATAAATAAATAAAAATAAAAATAAATAAAAATAAATAAATAAATACTTAAAACCACCATCTGAGTTTTGTTAGAAAGACAGCAGCAGACGGAATTAAATGCAGCAAAAAAATCAACGCCACCCGTACTGCTGCTGCTGCTGTAGCAGCAGCTGCTGCTGCTGCTGCAGCAGCTGCTGCTGCTGCCACCACTGCTGCTGCTGCTGCTGCTGCTGCTGCTGGTTGAAGACAGAAGGAATATAAGGAGTGCTGATGCTTGTGGGCCCCGTTGCATTTAAAGAGAATCTGCTGTACGTAGGCATGGGCTGTATGATGCTGCCAAGAGTTGCTACCTGATGCTGCTGCTGCTGCTGCTGCTGCTCTGTTGATTGGTTGTCTTTAGCCCCGTCCATACATCGACCGAACAAATCCCCTAAACGGATACGACGGCCAGCAAACAGCTTCTGAGGCTTCTGCTGCTGCTGCTGCGGCTGCTGCGGCTGCTGCTGCTGCGGCTGCTGCTGCGGCTGCTGCTGGTTGATATTGCTGCTGCTGCTGCTGCCGCTTACTTTCTTTCTAACAACACGCGGGGTACAGAGATGTGTGGGGTGGTTGGGGTCTGCATGCATTTGGAAGGGTATGCTGCTGAACCGAGTTGGCTGCGTTGCTTGCTGCTGCAGCAGCAGCTGCTGCTGTTGCTGCTGCAGTAGCTGCTGCGGTGTTGCTGCATTGAAGCAAGACGGATCTACAAACGTCGCAGGCAGGCGCTGGGCTGAGTAGCAGGCCGATGAGTTCCATTCACAAGGAGGAGACGAACCCCACATAGTCGATCCCATCGCTCCCGGCGATCCCATCGATCCCATGGGTCCCATCGATCCCATGGGTCCCATCGATCCCATGGGTCCCATCGATCCCATCGATCCCATGGGTCCCATCGACCCAGGCGGTCCCATCGATCCCATGGGTCCCATGGGTCCCATCGATCCCATCGATCCCATCGATCCCATCGATCCCGGCGGCCCCATCGATCCCATGGGTCCCATGGATACCATGGATCCCATCGTCGGGATCGATCCCATGGTTCCTATAGCCGGGATCGATGCCATCGATCCCTGAGGCCTCATCGATCCCATCGGCGGGAGCGACGCCATCGATCCCGACGATCCCATCGATCCCATCGATCCCATCGCTCGCGGCGATCCCAAGGGTGCGATCGATGCTGTCGATCCCGTGGATGGGAGATTTTTTCTTAATTGCTGGTATTGGCTGCAGGGGATTGGGGTGTGGGGTGGTTGCTGCCTATACACCTCAGCAGCAGCAACAGCAGCACGACTGTTGAGCAACTGCGAAGAAGAAGCAGCAGCAGCAGAGGAGGGAAGCAAAAAGGAAGAGCTCTTACCGATACCAGGCTGCGTAAACATACCCTGCTGCTGCTGCTGCTGCTGCTGCTGCTGCTGCTGCAGTGTGTACGAGGAATCGAACGCCCCCATCTGCTGCTTATGCTGAAGCTGCTGCTGAGGCAGGTTATGCGTTTGCTGCTGCTTGCGGGGCGTTGCTGTGCGGCTAACGGGTGCCCGAGGTGTACGTACAGCTCGGCCTTTGGCGTTTAGTTGCTGCAGGCAAAGGTCTCCATCAGCATCAGCATCAGCAGCAGCAGCAGCTGCTGCTGCTGCTGCTGCTGCGCCGCTGATGAGTTGGGGTGTATGTACACTCGGAGAGCCGCACAAATTCCCTGGCTGCTTACGGCGATTTCTTTTTTGTTTTGCTGGTTCTGCATCTCCCAAGTCCTTTACCTGCTGCTGCTGCTGCTGCTGCTGCTGCATTTGCTGCTGCTGCATTTGCTGCTGCTGCATTTGCTGCTGCTGCCAGCGGGCGGTGGGGGTGTGGGGTGTGGGGTGTATATCCACATCGGATTCTTCTTCTGTTTCATCGCTAAGGGGCTCCGTCGCCCATCGCTCTCTGCCTCTCCCTGCTGCTCTTGCTGCTGCTGCTGCTGCTGTTTGCGGCTGTCGCTGTGCGGCTGCTAAGGCGTCGAGCTGCAGCCTGGGGACCCTCAACTGTCTGCAAGCTGAAGCTGCTTTTGTTTGTTTGTCTTCATCGCTGTCTCTTTCTGCTGCTGCTGCTGCTGCAGCAAAGGTTCTGCTTCTGCTGCTGCTGCTCCCAGAAGCAGCTCTTCTCTCCATGTGCTGCTGTTCGGGAGTCTCTGCTGCTGAGTAGCTGCACGTACACCAGGACGTGTTTTCTCTCTCTTGTCTCCTTAGACATAATACTGAGTGAGACTTCAATTGATGATGCTGCTGCTGCTGCTGCTGTCTCTCGAGGGCTCTGCTGCTCCTCCTTCTGCTGCGTCCCTGCAACGGCGCTGCTGCTGGTACTTCTTCACCTGCTGTTGCTGCTGCTGTTGCTGCTGCAGCAGGAGACAAAGAGATCCTCGACGCCTCCCGCGTACGGGAGAGACGAGGGCCCAAGCGGGGGGTTCGTCTCCCCTGCTGCTGTTGCTGCTGCTGCTGCAGTTGCTGCTGCTGCAGTTGCTGCTGCTGCTGCTGCTGCTGCGGCTGCTGCGGCTGCGGTCGCTGCTGGTGCGTTCTGACAAGGGGAGAGGAAGCAGCGGCAGCAGCAGGAATTGAAACAGCTGCAGCACCAGACTGGCGACGACGAGAAGCTGCGCCTAATAGCCCGTTGCTGCTGCTGCTGCTGCTACTGCTGCTGCTGCTGCTGGTGCTGCTGCTGCGACCGCGGGTTCTCTCCCGTTTGGAGTCCTCAGCAGCAATAGGCGCTGCAGCTGCTGCTGGTGCTGCTGGTGCTGTTGCTGCTGTTTCTGTCTTATGTTCTTTAGTTGCAGCAGCAGGAGCTGCAGCAGGACGTTGGTGTATTTGCTGCTGCATTTGCTGCTGGTTTTGCTTCTGTCGTTCTTCCTGCTGCCGTTCTTGCTCTCCCCTGCCTTGCTCCTGCTGCTGCTGCTGCTCCTGCTGCTGCTGCTGCTGCTGCTGGGTAGGGGAAGCTAAGTGGTAGAGGCCTTTCTGAACAATAAACGAATTCCAAGCAGCATTAACGAGAGAAGAATAGAGCCCCAGTCGGACATCGGGAAGCTTGCTGAGGTGCAGCAGCAGCTGAGGCAGCAGCAGCATTTCTTTATCTGCTGCATCTCCTAGAAAGGGTTTTATAAACAACCCGTTCTCAGGTTGAGCAGCAAAAGAAATTAAGCTGTTGTCCAGCAGCATGCAGCGTGATAGAGGCCTTGCTGCTGCTGCTGCTTCCAGATCCTTCACGTAGTAAAGAGGCAGCAGGGGTACATCAGCAGCAGCAGCAGCAGCAGCAGCAGCATCTTCATCTCCCGCTGCAACACCATCTACACCGGATTCCGACTCCAATGCACAAGCAGCTGCTGTTGCTGCTGCTGCTTCTCTCGCCGCACCGCCTTCCCCTGTTCCAGTTCCTGCTGCTGTTCCTGCTGCTGCTGCTGCTGCTGCTGCTGCTGCATGCGGTTTAAGCTTGCGGGGAGCTGTAGAGCAGTGCTGTCTGTAGAGACGGTGATGAAAGAGTTTGCCTCCATTGGCTGCTTCTAAGACATCTAGAATAGGATCTGCATATTGCTGCAGAGCAGCAGTAAATATAATTAGTTCGAAGGCCCCGCTCGCATGCAGCTGCTGCAGCAGAGACAGAGCAAAGGGCCGGAAATATACAAACAACAAAGAACCGCTTTCTCCTGCTGCTGCTGCTGCTGCTGCAGCTGCTGCTGCTGCGGCTCCAGGATCAGCACCAGCAGCATCACCATCAGCAGCAGCACCAGAAGCAGCAGCAGCAGCAGCAGGATCAGCAGCATTTTGCTTGTTTAGTTGGTTGTTTGTATTTAGAGTTGAATTAACTAAGTGCTGATCTGGACAAGAGTAAGGAATGAGGACAGGAAGCTGCTGCTGCAGCAGCAGCAGCTGCTGCTGCACCTGCAACTCCATCTGCTGCTGTTGCTGGTGTCCTTCCATGTGCTGCATATGCTGCTGTATTTGCTGCTGCTGCTGCTGCAACAGGAGCTGGTGCTGCTGCTGTCTTGCAATTGCTGCTGCAGCTGCGGCTGGATCTGAGGCCTCTGTACACTCAAAAGGAGCAGCATTTACAGAAACAAATTTAAATATCTTATCTGGAGATACACCCGGCAAAGGAGTAGGCGAAGCAAACAAAAGAGTTTCGTCTAAGTCTATAAACAGCGTCAGTCGGTCTTCTTCTTCATTTTCTAATGAACTCTTCTCTCCTTTGTAATACCTAAACAACGCACAATTAATAATAATATATATATATATATATTATATTATATATATGTTATATATATTGTATATATTATATATATATATTCTATGCTTTCTTTGCTATCAACATATAATAATATAATAAAGGCGTGGAGAGAAGAGCTAAATAAAATAAAGAAATAAAAAGAAGTAAACAGAAATAAACAATAAATATATATATACATATACATATATATATATTTATATATTAATATATATATTTATATATATACTAATATATATATATTTATATACCTGCCGTTGAGTTTGCTCTGTCTTATTTCTGCGATTGCATTTAAACCCTCAATTACTTCCTCAGGTAATTCTGAGAGATCCAGCGAAGCAGAAGCCTCACAGCTTGTTGAAGACCCCATCGGCTGCTGCTGCTGCTGCTGCTGCTGTTGCTGCAGCTGTGGCTGCTGCTGCTGTTGTTGTTGTTGTTGTTGCTGTTGTTGTTGTTGCTGCTGCTGCTGCTGCTGCTGCAGGCGAGAGGTGCAGAGGCCGGAACGGTGGCCTCCACCTCCTTGAATCTTCTTGAAAGATAAAGAGCTGCCGTCAATTTCTGCTTCTTCTTCAGCAGCAGCAGCTGCTGCTGCAGCAGCTGCACTAGCAGCAGCAGCACCACAGGCAGGCAGCAGCAGCTGCAACCCCCCTCCTACACAAACGTCCGGAGCTCCCTGAACTGTCATACCGATCCGCTGCAATCAGCAGCAGCAGCAGCAACAACAAAAGAAGAAAAAGAAAAAAAAGAAGAAAAAGAAGATGCTGCTGAGGGAGACGCAGGAAATGCTAGGCTTTTCAATGGGCACTGTGAAGAAGCAGCACCAAAGTACACAAGAATAATATTTTTTAGATAAAGAAATTAAACACCAACTCCTGCTGCTTGCTTCTCGTTCTCCATCTATTCTCCTGAAACTTCAATTTAAAAACAGTGGGGCGCTTAAACCGCTGCAAGAAGAAGAAACATCGAAGTGCTTTATTAGCGGCTGCACAGAGGGCTCTTGCAATGAAGGATGCGAGAGAGAAGAAAAGCAGCGAAGTTTCCTGGTTTCTCAGCTTATGGGAGTTGAATCTGTGTTGTCTATTAAACAGTTGTAAGGGAAAATGAGTCTGTTAGTTAAACTGTTCTGGAAATGGGCTTCGTCAATCACAGGGCGACAGATGTCGATACACAGGCGAGGCCGCAGGGAAACAGCTCTAAACTTTGCTAGAAGATGAATTGAAATTCAAATTGCTGAAAAACAACAGAAACAGCATTTAAAACCAGAAAATTGAAGGCAAATATCGCAGAGACGAACGCACAAAATTCTTCGCCTTCTGCTCGACGCCCCTGCTGTGGCTAGCTGACGGTGAAGCCCCTTTGATGATGGTATCTAATATCATGAAATAATTAAAAATACACATTAAAAAACAACTTATTCTGCATTCAAATCAAATATTTAATCATGAGTTTCTACTCTCTTCAAGTAGTCATTTTGGGGTGTATGTACACCTCCTCATTACCAACTAGGAACTGTAGCCGACTCGGCTCGCCGCTTCTGCTTCGTCAGTGCCGATCCTCCCTTAAAAACCCTTTATTTGAAAATTTCTTTTGATTCATTCTCTTTAATTTGTTATTTATTAATAATATTTACGTTTTTTTAAACGTTTACCTGTAAATTTCGAGCAGATCGCCCCTGCCGACAGCTGGCGCTGGCTGTGGGTATGTCTGTCTGCTCGCGTAGTTCAATCTTCGTGAAGATTATTTCTTCTCTCTTTTCGTTTTTTCTTCTACTTTATTTGCTTTTAATTGAGGAAATATCACTAAAAGATTGGATTCCAGATAGTTGGCTTGATGGCGAAGGATCTTCTCTCTCCCCCCTCCCTATTTCTTGAAAGAAGAAGACATAAAAGTAAACACCTGCAATGAAACCCGCTGCTAATGATGAATTGATTTCCTTCTACAAGGAAATACCCCTTTATAGGTCTCATGCCTGTAGGGGAAATGAAGTAAGTTGAGCTGCACTATTTGCTTCCCCAAGTCTAAGCACAAGGAGCAATGCCTCCTTTCCCTTGTTGCCGGAACTCCTTACATTAATTATCCCTTAACCCTAATTCACAAACCCTAAACCCTAAACCCTAAACCCTTGTACGCTGCAACTGTGACTGCTGATTGGCAAATCGATAAACAAATGCAGCAAACGTCTTCTTCAAATTCAAATATTTTTAATTGCTTTAAATGCACCCTATTTTTGTTTTATTTCGTTTTCTTGTACATGTTTGGCGGCTTATCTTTGCTTCTGACTGTTATTTCTTCCCATATATTTCCATATTTGTATTCGTGTATATGTATATATATATACATATATAATAGTTTTATATATAATAGCTTCTTTAATGCGTATTTAAATCTATGTTTAATAAACTACCGGGGCATCGTCATGCGAAGAAAGAGAGCGAGTAGAAGAAAAACAAATTGAATAATGATAAAACAAATTCTTTTAATGATTATTATTTAAAATAATTATAAATTATATACCTTAGGAGAAGAAATGCAAAGAAGAGAAACAAAGCAATCCATACTACTGCATGCATGCATGCATGCATGCATTTGTAAAAAAGAAAAAAAAAACAAAATAGATGGAAGTAGATCCTTAAACACCTTCTCATTCTTATTGCCCTTCTTTTCAGGTAAATGAGCAGAGATAAACAAACAAATGCAAATATATTTTTAAACAAAAACAAACAAAACAAACAAACAACAGAAACGCAACGGCGAAATTCATCTGCATTGACACCCCAATTAAAATTTTCGGGCCTTCTTCGACTCAGTGAAATAAAATAAATAAATCCTTTTTACGAACTTAACGCATATATATATATATATATATATATATATAT